TGGAGGTTAAAATCTGTAGTCCACATGTCGAAGTGTCCTTGGACAACACACTGGACCCTCAAGCTGCCATTGGTGTGAGTTGGCACCAAAGATGGCTGCCTTGTTTCTGTACCAGAAACAAATTTTGTGTTTGTGTAACGTACTTGGCCAAATAAAAGTGATTGTTATTTTATTTAAAATGCTCAGCAGTTTCCCCAGTCATTTGCACTGCAGATTTTGCACTGAACCAGGAAAAACTCATTCCAATTTTGCCTGGAATGATTCAATCCTGATTTGACTGCTTCATTATTGCAATCAGTTCTGTGAGATGTTATGTGTCTTATTCAAGAGAACATAAAAAACTAAAATTTGAGTGTGTCCTTGTTGCAGGGAACATGTGAAAAAAAACAAAACTATTTTTGTTGGGAGCCTTTCACTGACATGCTCCAATGTCATTTAGACAATATCTCCCTTTGAAAGGAAACTAGATATGGAACAATGTTCATGTTTATATTTCCTGTCAAAACAGTGTGTAACCCCCCTGGAATGTCCTGATCCTCCCACATATAGTATATCATCTATCACTCATGCAGCACTGAATGAATGCCGTTGCATAATCTTTGAGTCACTCACAACATTCAGTGCATATGAGCACAGGGGTAGCCAGGGGGATGGATTTTGGGATTAACCCTTGCCCCCTCCGAAATATTTTATAGTCTAACGTTATGTTGTATTGTGCAGAGCTTTACAAAGGGCAGTACAACAATGCACCAGACAGAATCAACATATTATTAACATGAAAGTTAGTTTCTCAAAAAAATGCTTCAGCCATCCGCTTTGATCCGTTCAGATCCCCTCGTGGTTTGGCGCACATGTGAATCGTAGAGTAACTGCCGGTCTTGTGTTACAATCTGTTCCCCATCAGGATGTCTTTCCCCCTGTTAAAACTGTTTCTAGTAGCGCCCCCCCTCCTTGTCTATGATTAGGATAAAGGTAGGGTTCAGGTTAGACGTCTTTGCTGCTTTGCTGGCAGTGAACTAGCCAAAGCCCCCATAAACCATCATGAGTGAAGACAACTCTCTCCACGGACAACACAGACACCCTCATATTTATATTTTTTATTTTAAGATGTTATTTAAACACCGGACATCTTGAATAATGCTTTCACCTAAGGCCATGTATTAAGTTCTTTAAGTAAATATTGGAAGCAAAGTTATATTTGGGGCAGCATGGTGGCGCGGTGGTTAGTTGCTTCACAGCAAGCAGGTTCTGGGTTCAAGCCCCAGCCAACCTGGGGCCTTTCTGTGCAGAGTTTGCATGTTCTCCCCGTGCTTGTGTGGGTTCTCTCTGGGTGCTACGGCTTCCTCCCTCAGTCCAAAGACATGCAGCATAGGTTGATTGGTGTCTCTAACTTGCCTGTAGAAGTGAGTGGTTGTTCATCTGTGTGTTAGCCCTGTAATGGGCTGGCGACCTGTCCAGGGTGTACCCCACCTTTTGCCCGCAGCTGGCTGGGATTGGCTCCAGCCCCCCGTGACCCCGTTTGGGACTAAGCGGTTTAGAGGATGGATGGATGGAAGTTATATTTGTCCACACCCCCATATATAAGTTTATTTATTTATTTATTTATTGCAGGTCTGAAAAATGAACCATTCCAAAAACCACGATACAATCTGAACCGTGAGATTTGTAAACTGTTCCACCCTTGTTTCATGGGCAGAAATACTTTTTAAATTTACACAAAGTGATTAATTTGACTTACCTTAGCATCATATCACAAGTTCAGAAACCTGAGCTGGAGTAGCATACTTTGGAAAAGGAACTGGGATACTGTTGTAGCAGTGAAGAGATGGAATTTTGGCAATTAAAGTGTTAAATGTACTTAGTAATTTAGATGGAAGAAAGCATAGAAATGTTGACCTCTTCAAATCCATAGTGGACAAGTTAGCTATGTGACACCAGTTAACAAATCAGACTATGATGAAAAATCCTGAAAAAAGTTATACCCACTGAAGTATTATTAAAAAAAAAAAGGCAATTAACAAAGTAAGTCAGAGCTTCATTTTCATTTTATAGTAGGTTAATGAGCCAATAAAACAGGAGCGAACACTGCTTCACACTGTAGGTCACCAGTGAAGCCAAGGATACTGGTCATCCTAATTTGTTGTTTTGAAATCCCTTTGCTAGAAGTGAATTTAAGAATGGGTGAAATATTTTCATCAACATGTTGATGTTAGAGTTACAACTTCACATTCCAGCTGCTAGCCACCCACCCACGCACACACACACACACACACACACACACACACACACACACACACACACACATACACAAGAACCAGCATTTATGCAAATACACACCTCCTGTGTCGAGGTGGAGTGTGTACTTGTGTCGTTGGTCGTAACAGGTACATGCCCAGACGTGCAGCTCAGGCAGTCTGACCGTCAACCTTTCAGAAACAGTTCTCAACACGTCCTCCAGCCGGCCCACCACATCTAGCTAACCGTGACTGACTCCACCACTACACAGGGTGGTGGATCACACACACAGCATTAAAGCTTTCAGCTTTAAAAGCTGATTTATAGGAGTCTTTCAAGCTGAGCTGAGCTGTATTGATGTTTATCCAAACTTTATATGGACAAATTTTTGTGAGGGATGTGTGGCAGAAGATGGCACGGTAAGTGAACAGAGAAGGTTTTAGGGGGGAGAGTGAGTCTGAGGAGTGCTGTAACATGCCAGCATCAGTCTGCACTATAGGAAGAGTTTTGTCTCATATGTCTTGAATTCCTTTCACAACTTTTAATAATGTTTTGTACCATTTGCAGTGATTAATTATTTCTATTTGTGTTTTCTGCTTCTCTCCACATTCTCTTTCTCTCAGCACAGTTTTGCTGCAGCTCACTGCTGCCTCCAGGTGTCATTTTGACTCAGCGATGTGAATCATTTAGTATATGTGGTTTGGGCTGTGTTGTGCTAACGGAACCTGAGGTCAAGTGAAGTTTGAGATAGCCTAGAGTGGCCTGGGAGTGAGCCTCGGTGGCCCCTAGCAGGCTTCAGTAAACAGCTAGAGTTGGTCATGTGTATTTATGCAAATCAAGAGACACACAAGTAAATACAGTGATGCAGTATATGTGTTTTTTTATTGGCTTATTGTAAATGGAGGAGGCCACAGCTCATCAGCTCCCAGAAAACTTACAGTCATGCACAGTCCAGTCTAGTCCAGCTCACCTGCAGCTCACCTCAGAGAGCCAACCACCTAACTCACTCTGAATGTCACTGCTATAGCAGAGCAAGGCTATATTTGTGTAGTATTCTTTTACAGCTGCATTAATTGATTTGTCATCAGCAGAACAGAAGAAAAACTACCTGGACATTGATAACCCTGTTAGCAAGCAGTTGCGTATTTATACATCCAACACAGAGCAACACTAGTCTTCATTTGGAGTCATGTTTGTGTTCCGTTGATAGATGTAAGTCTTCTGCTTTCACCAGCTACTTGGTTTGGTGCTGTTGGTGGGGTTATCAGCGGTGCTGAAAACAGCTACCTATATGTCTGCATAGACTGTTCCTCTAGTGGTTACAACATTTCCTGTTTACTTTGTTAAGCCTACCCTTGTTGGTCAAACATGTGGTTGCATTCATTGGGTTTACTTCAGCACATGTGTGTAATTAGAGGACTTATTGGTTTCAGTTGATTGGTTTTCACTTGCTAGAGCAGGAGCAGCACAGGTGTTACTAATAACATTACCAGTAGCTCTGTTCTGTTCGTGTGCACCAGTAAACTGTGACGGGGTGACAGTGTGAGGCAGCACCAGGAGGCTGAAACTGATACAGAGCATGGAGTTCTGCTTAATTTATTTCAACACCTGTGCTTTTCCCACTGTGACAAATCAAACTGCAAACCTCTGATTCTGTGTCGAGGCAGCCTGTAGAAGGCAAGTGTGGTGATATGTCTTGGTGTAATTTTATTATGTATCAGCTTTTTGTCATGTTATGTTTGCGGTTGTTTTCAAGCAATGTTGGGTTGACATTGTACAGGAACAATGATATATATATATGATGGATTGCATCATAAAAACACATACACACATGCACATTGAATGTTTTTTCCAGTAACTCAGTTGCTCTGTACAGTTTTAAGGACTTGTGTACTTTATGCGTTTATTTTCAAGTTGAGGAAAGAGAGAGAGCTGACAGGAAGTGATGGGGAAGAGAAATGAGTAATGACATGAAACAAAAGTCCCAAACTAGACACAGACAGCTGTTTAACAGACTGAAAACCTTTAAATGAAGTGAGGAGAGTGAAAGACATGTTTCTGCCCAGTTGATGAATTCAAGTACTTTGGTTTTCTCATAGTTAATGTCAGGCTACTTTAGTCACTTTACTACTGTTGCAGTCCAGCTGGATGCCTGAAATGGCTTCTGGGTCACGATGCATTAGTTCATATTTTAAAGATGCCTCTTAACCAACAACCTCAGCGCCTGGAACTTTATTTTTTATGTCAAACTCAATCCATGGATAAAGGCACATCCACCAATCCAGCATTGGATGTGCGTAGGGGGCACCTGTGGTTCTTTGTTTGGGCTGAAGTCAACTTTTTTTTACAATGTTGACCTTTACAGCTGAGAGAATTGAGTGAAGTCCCAGCTTCTGTTATGTAGAGGGGCAGGTTTAGGAGTTCAGGTTAATTCCAAAGATTAGCCCTATTCTTTTATGATTTGTGCTAATCTATAATGATAACCACAGTTATTTCTTTACCACATCCTAAAATAAATGACAAATCACTGAGCTTTAAAAATGCTAAAAAGACCAATACACAGTGATGGGTTGTTATAAGTTAAGGCTGCTGGATACAATACATGGCTCATATAACTTGGCTGAATTATTTTCTGGGTAGAAACTGCAGCATGTAGTATTTCTAGTTTGCCATCATAAACCATGTGAAGTTTCTCACAATTCTCTCATGTGTCTTATGTCCCCCCTCCCCCTTCATGTGTTTGCCTCTACCTGTCTCCTCTGTAGGCGGCCTGGCTGTGACTGTGGTTTGAACCAGTGGGATCAGATGCTTTTTAATGTGACATCATTCATCACAACCTCCTCTTCACAAAGGAAAGACTAGAAGTCCTTTGGCTCCTGCAACTTCTCAGCACTGAAAAAACATGGAATTTGTGGATCTTGTCTTTTCTGGAATGTGTCTGGAAACTTTAATCAAAGACGTAAATTACTTGTGAATATTGGATTGAATTGTACTTTCTGAATCAGCTGCCTTGTGATGATTTGACTTGGGCGTGAGACGTTTCAGCCATCCAGTGAATTGCAGACCCGTGATATCCTCACCTTCCCATTTTCACTGAACTTCAGTCTGAGGAACCTCTCAGGCTGTCTCTGCCTCTTCAGCCCTGGATTACTTCTACCAGAGGTTTCATGAGATATTTTTGACGCTGAGATACAATGTTTGTTGAGCTCCACTTTTGGCTGCTTGTCTCTGTTGGTCTGGATCACTGTTTCTAAAGGAACATACAGACCAACTCTTTGAGGTGTGAAGTTAGCAGCTACACCTTGAAAACCTGAGAGCACGGTGTGAACCCCTGACACTTGACATTTCACCATCATACAGAAGCTGTCATGGAAGCTGTGGCAGCTAGAATGGCCATGGTAACTGACTCCCCAAACCCATCGCTTAGGTCGAGGACCACTGTCACAACAGACGGGGACTCTTTCGTGAGCACTGCCAGCCTTCCCTGCAGCCACTTCCTGTCAGCCAACATCATCAGTGTCGGTAAGTGTTTGCCTCTGTGACCTGTGAGTCGCCTGCACATGGTGAGAAGTGCTTGTTTTATTCCTGAAGAGTGATAATGTGCTGTGATTGTGGCTGTGAGTGTTACAGTAGGTGTCATTCTGTGGTCAGTTGTCTGTGGTCTCTCTGCTGCCTTGCAGTGTACAGTGCTGCTTTGAAAACATTAAGCAGTTTTGCCTGTCTTTATTTCACTATTAAAAATTGTGGAAGACTTGGTTATCTAATTGATTAGCATGAAAAAGGCTCTGACAAAGATGTATTGTGTTAGATTATGACATCACTGCCTGGAGTCTGATGGAGAGGACGATATAGAGACCACAGGATTCAAGATTCAAAGTTTTTATTGTCATATGCACAGTATGGAAACGTGTTTCTCTGCACAATAAAATTCTTACGTTGCCTTCAATAGGAGGAGCTGATTGTGGGTATGAAATGTGAAGAGGTTAGTGGCAGGATCTTAACTGCTTCATTCCTTTATAGTGGAGTACTATTTGATATAAAAACGTGTTGCTATAACCAAGATGCATTAGATAGACAGATTTTCAGCATCCCTCTCCAAGCCACAGACACTACATAATCTGGACTTGTGGTGTGACTGCGTTGGTGGTCTATGCCATTATCTAAGCATTACCAGGGTAGTTCATCCACTGATAATCAAGCTGAAGAGTCAATGAGATAAATTGTTGTTTTCCTAAGACTGGAATGATCAGGTTCAGGGAACCCTGAACATTCAATAAACAAAACTTCTATTTCCATTGCCTTTAAAACTTTGTGTTTTTAAAAAAAAAAGAAAAAAAAAAAGCATAGCCTGCTAGATGGATTCTACGTTAGACACTTGGCGGTTTCTCTTGGAAAAGTAGGGCCTTGTTTAACCAATCATTCCTACTACAAAAATATTATACAATAATTTAAAGTAGTCGGGCGGCCGTGGCTTGGAGTTGAGCAGGTTGCCCTCTGATCACAGGGTTGGCAGCTTGATTCCTAGTCTCTCCAGTCCACATGACCAAGTTGATCCCAGTGCCCAGGCCAGCGCCTTGCATGGCTGCATTCAATGTGTGAGTGTGTGTGTGAGAATCTGTAAAGTGCTTTGTCTCTGTAAGGTAGAAAAGTGCTGTACAAGTGCAGTGCATTTACCATTTAAAGTATTATTAATGAATTTGCTTAAAGCATGACAGTACTGATGAAGTTGCAGCTTTCACCATATAGGATGTGAGACATTGAACTAAAGACACGTCTTCACCGGGCCCACTCCAGGGCATTTAAATGGTGCTGCGCTGCTGTCCATGGAATTAGCAGAACCACTTGTGGGGGTGGAGTGAATCTTTTTTGAGTTCAACTTTGGAGAACCTTGGTACTCCAATCTGCACCAGTGGGGAAAAAAGTTTTAACTGTGCTGGCCTTCGAGAGAATGGAGAGCAAAAGAGTCTTAAAATAGGAAGTTAGCTATGGAACCCTTGAGGGTGTTATGGTTTAGTCCCCCTTACCAGGGGGGTGAGGGAGAACTGAGGTAGGACTCAAGAATGCAGACCCAGGTGCTAGTGAAAAAAGGTGATTTATTTGTGGAGCACAAACAGAGTAACTGAGTCAACGTATAGTACAATAACCAGGGTAGGGCAGGGATTGCTGAGGAGACTAGGACGAGCAGATGAGTAGGAGGACTGCAGGAAAAAGGAGAGTAGAGGACTAGGACAAGTTAGGCGAGTAGACAGGAGAACGGCAACAGGTAAGATGACAGGAGGGATACAGGAACGAGAAGACAGGATTGGTGTAGCGCTCGCTGAAGCACTAGCCGTATGGTACCCACGGCTGGGAAAATCACCGTCAGGTACTCTTGGCTAGGAAAGTACACCAGAAGTGATCACGGCATCGCCATCAGATACTCATAGCTAGGAAAAGATCGCCAATATGTGGCCCTATCTAACACAAAAAAAGAGAAACAAAAACCTCGCCAATCACTCAACCTATCAGTACTTCCTCAACATGTTCGTGTCTAACATAGTGTAATGCTCCGGCGACAACGGAGCGTCTGCTAGAGGTTTAAATAAGGAGGAAGGTATTACAGTAATGTGCCCCAGGTGTGCACGACAACCCACAAGTCACTAATTACAGAAAGCGACACAGCTGGGACGCCGATCCCGCAAAAAGAGCGAGCAGGAGAGAGAAAGGCAAAAGAGAGGCAGGTTGCGTCGAGCGGACATGACAGAGGGGTCAAATAGTGTTGGAAATAACCCAATCCTTTTGTTGGAAGCACGAGAAGTGAAGACAGGAGAGGACTGTTTAAAATCAACAGGAAGTTTACTCAAAGTCTGGGCACAGGTGAAGTCCATACAGTGCTGGAGTCGGAGAGACAGAGCTCCCGCAGGAGATCTGTTTTCTGAACCCCGAGTTACATGTTTTCATTGAATTAGTCGGAGAGACAGAGCTCCCGCAGGAGATCTGTTTTCTGAACCCCGAGTTACATGTTTTCATTGAATTAATATCTTTGGGCTAGGTCCAACCTGGGCAGAGGTACAAAATTCAACACTTCGTAATCCTATTGGTCATTTGGTGTGAGTAGGTCAACTCCTGCCTGCGCCTGCTTGCTGAAATGTGATCTATACTGTGTGTGTGTGTGTGTGTGTGTGTTTCTCAGGTGGCAGCTTGATCTTGATCAATGGTCTGGGCTGCAGGCCCCCTATGTGTGATGCTAAAAAGTATGCTAAACTGGCCAGGCGGTCGTCTCAGGTTGTAGCCCCCTGTCTCTGCAGGACATCCCATGACAAAGCAAAACTTGGAATATGCAAAGTGGGTCTATGTAGGTGAAGGTGCAAAACAGGCCAACAGGTCTTTGTTAAAATGTAAAATAGGCTGTCTGGTTACTTGGAGATGCAAACACTATGTCTACACAGAAGTTAAAGCAGGCAGTTTCTACTTCAGTATCACTTGACTTTCATCAATACAATTGTAAGAG